CGCCCGCTTAATTAGGGCAAACCGAAAGCTGTGGCCCGACTCGATTTCTCTCCCCATCCCGCCCTCGCCCCCCCCTTTTTTTTATTTAAGGTCAGTGTGCTCGCGGGCCGATGTCAATAGAGTCGTGTTCAATGCGAATTGTTTTATTTCAAGAGCTTTTTGTTTAAAGAGATGGCATCGACTTTATTTGGACATCCCGCGAGGCACCTGACCTTAAATAAAAAAAAGGGGGGGGCGAGGGGGGGATTGGACGAGAAATCGAGTCGGGCCACAGCTTTTCGGTTTGCCCTAATTAAGCGGGCGGAAATTGGAATTTGAAATGGAAATTCCCGTGATTGAAAAACGGGTGGATTGATTATCGAGTGAAATGAAGGCGGTGATGCGCGCGCGAGGGAGGTGGGGTGGGGGAGGGGGTTGGGGTGGGGGAGGGGCTCTGAGGAATGCATTGATGGTATTATTATTGGTGTTGTATTTTCGTTGTTGCTGATGTTCATATTATTATTGTTATATTATTATTATTATTATTATTTATTATTATTATTATTTTATTATTATTATTATTTTATTATTCTTATTATTATTATTATTATTATTATTAATTATTATTATTATTATTATTATTATTTATTATTATTATTATTATTATTATATCATCATCATCATCATCATCATCATCATCATCATCATCATCATCATCATCATCATCATCATCATCATCATCATCATCATCATCATCATCATCTCTCTGCTCCACTAAGAAAGTTATGTTTTTGATCGTGTTGGTTAGTTTATTTGTTTGTTTTGTTGGTTGGTTAGGAGGATAACTCTAAAAGTTATGAATAGATAGAATAATAGAATTCTTTGGGCAGAGGTTTGTTTAGTTGCCATTAAATTTTGGTAGCGATCCGGTTTTTTCAATTGTTAGCAGGAAATCTAAAAAAAAAAAAAGAAAAAAAAAAAACGGAGGTGTGACTTAGCCTAACTTAAATTCCATTAAATGTTGGTAGTGATCCGGTTGTGATCGGATCCAGGAATTTTTTGAAAGGTTGCATCATTACCCCCATTGCCTTGCTCAAGCCAGGGAGGTTATGTTTACGGACGTCACCTTTTTACTTGAGAAAGGGGAATCTAATGTATTTTTTTTATAAGAATATTTTTTATTGCATCTGTGACCTTATTGACTTGGCGGAGGTATGCGCTCTGTGAGTGTTTTTAAATGTTATTATTACTATATTTATTATTGTTATTATTATTGTTTGTTATTGTTGCTATTGTAATTACCACAACTCCCCCTCCTTTTCTTCTTCCCTCCATCCCTCCATTTCTCCCTCTCTCCTCCCTTCTTATCTCCCTCTTTCCCTCTCTCCCTCCCTTCCTCTGGGTCTCTCGCACCCACCGTCTCCATCTAATAAAAACATATCGCCCGCCCTCATCTCGATTTCCATCTCACCCTCCCTCTTTCCCTCCACCTCCCTCTCCTCTTTCCCCTCCCCCTCCACCCTTTTTCCCCCTCTCTTTTCACCAGCCTCCCTATAAATAAACAGTTGTTCCTCTCCCCCACTGCACAAGGAAAGAGAAAGAGAAAAAAACACGTCAGTTTAAGTTTTTCACGGCTACCCAAAATAGGCATAGCGTGGTAGCCCTCTTCCTGTTCTTATGTCTATTTTTATTTTCACTGTCTACGCTACGTATGGTGACAATGATATGATAATTATGATTGTGACGATGGTAGCGATGATGTTGATGTTTATATTGATGATGATAATAGTAATAATAATGATAATAATAATAATGATAATGATAGTACTAATGATGATGATGATGATGATGGTGATGGTGATGATGATGATGATGATGATGATGATGATGATGATGATGATGATAATAATAATGATAATAATAATAATGATAATAGTAATGATAATAATGACAATAATAGTAATAATGATAATGATAATTATCATAATAACAATGGTACCAATAACAGTAAAACTTATAATAATGATAATAATAAGGATAATAATGATGATAGTATTAAGGATGATAATACTAAGGGTACCAATGATAATAATAGTAGTAACTAGAACCACTCAGAAAGCGCATACCTCCGCCAAGGCAATAGGGTCACTGATGCAATATAAGTATTCACACTTGAAGCCTTACGTTAAAAAACTTCTTTATCAAGTATATGGTGGCGTCCGTGTTTCCCTGTTTCGCAGTGCTAATCAATCCTTAAAAAAAATGAATTCGGATCACCACCAAAAATTGATGGAATCTAAGTTTGGCTAAGGGACACCTCCGGTTAAAAAATCATAATCATCTGTTGGTATTTTTTTTTTTTTTTTGAGTTATCCTGTGCTGGGTCCAGATCACCACCAAAATTTAATGGCATCTAAGTTGGTCTAAGACACAATAGTAAAAATTTCATAATTATCTGTTCATAACTTTTTGAGTTATCCTGCTAAGCAACTAACCAACAAACTAACCAACGCTACTAAAA